GATGTGGTTTCATTGCCTGAGAAAATTAATGTATCTCCTATTACCTGGTATGCAGCTATCAAGCTGTCTAATGCCTTCCTCTCCATACCTGTTTTGAAGGAAGGCCACCAATATACCTTTACTGTCTTACGTCAGGGTTTATATCAACTCTCCAGCCCTACGTAATAATTTAGTCTACAGGGACTTTAATTGCCTTCCCCTTTCACATGACGTCACACTGGTCTATTACATTGGTAACACTGTGCTGACTGGACTTAGTAAAGAAGAATTATTGATGACTCTAGACTTTTATCATGCAATGATAAGCCATTTATATGCTAGAGGGTGAGAAATTAACAGAACAAAAATTCAAGTGCCTTCTAACTCAAGTGAAATTTCTAGGGGTCTACTGGTGTGGAGTACGTTGAGATATTCCTGCTATAGTGATGGATAAGTTATTGCATCTGGCCCCTCCCACAACTAAAAAGGAGGCAGAATGCCTAGTGGGCCTCTTTGGATTTTGGAGGCAACATATCATCTGGGTGTGCTACTCCAGCCTATTTATCAAGCGACTCGAAAAGCTGCTGGGTTTAAGTGGGGTCCAGAACAAGAGAAGGCTCTGCAACAGGTTCAGGCTGCTGTCCAAGCCACTCTGCCACTTGGGCTGTGTGATCCGGCTGATCCAATGGTGCTTGAAGTATCAGTGGCAGATAGAGATGCTGTCTAGAGTCTTTGGCAGGTCCCTATAGGTGAATTTCAGCACAGACTTAGGATTTGGGAGCAAAGCCCTGCCACCATGTCAGATAACTACTCTCCTTTTGAGAAACAGCTTTTGGCTTATCATTGGGCCTTGGTAGAGACTGCCTAACTATGGGCCACCAAATTCACTATGCAGCCTGAGGTGCCCATCATGAACTGGGCATAAAGTTGGACATGCACAGCAGCACTCCATCATTAAGTGGAAGTAGTATATATGAGATTGGGCTTAAGCAGGGCCTGAAGGCACAAGTAAGTTACATGAGGAAGTGGCCCAAATGCCCATGGTCTCCACTCCTGTCACATTACCTGCCCTCTCCCAATCTGTACCTATTGCCTCTGTGGGGAGTTCCTTATGATCAGTTGACTGAGGAAGAGAAAATTCATGCCTCGTTTACAAATGGTTCTGTGCAATATGCAGGCATCTCTTGAAAATGGATGGTGGCAGCACTATAACCCCTTTTTGGGACCTCCCTGAAGGACAGTGGTGAAGGGAAATACTCCCAATGGGCAGAACTTCAAGCACTATAGTTGGTTGTTCGCTTTGCTTGGTAGAAGAAATGGCCAGATGAGCAATTAAATGCTGATTAATGGGCTGTGGCCAATAGTTTGGCTGGATGGTCAGGGACTTGGAAGGAAAATGATTGGAAAATTGGGAACAAGCAGGTATGGGGAAAAGGTACGTGGACAGACCTTTCTGAATGTGGCAAAGAAGTGAAGGTATTTGTGTCTCATGTGAATGCTCACCAAAAGGTGACCTCGTCAGAGCAGAATTTTAACAATCAAGTGGATAGTATGACATGTTCTGTGGAAACCAGTCATCCTTTCTCCAGCCACTCCTGTTGTTGTCCAGTAGCCTCATGAACTAAGTGGTCATGGTAGCAGAGATGGAGGTTACGCATGAGCTCAGCAACATGGATTTCCACTCACCAAAGCTGACTTGGCTGAGTGCCCACTGCTGAGTGCCAATCTGCCAGCAGCAGAGACCAACAATGAGTCCCCAGTATGGCACCATTTTTTGGGGTGATCAGCGAGCAACCTGGTGGCAGTCTGATTACACTGGACCACTTCCATCATGGAAAGGGCAACATTTTGTTCTCACTGGGATAGACACTTCTTCTGGATACGGATTTGCCTTCCTTGCACACAATGGTTGGCGCTTCTGCCAAAACTACCATCAATGGACTTACAGAATGCCTCATCCATCATCATGGTATCCTACACAGCACTGCCTCGGATCAAGGAACTCATTGCACAGCAAATGAACTGCTACAATAGGTCCACGTTCATGGAATTCACTGTTCTTACCATGTTCCCCATCATCCTGAAGCTGCTGGTTTTATAGAACAATGGAATGGCCTTCTAAAGACACATTTACAGCACCAGCTAGGTGGTAATACTTTGCAGGGTTGGGGCAATAGTCTCCAGAAAGCTGTAAATGCTCTAATAAAACGGCGTCCAATACATGGTGCTGTTTCTTCCATAGTCAGAATTCATGGGTCCAGGAATCAAGGGGTGGAAATACGAGTGGCACCACTATTACCCCTAGTGACCCAATCACAAAATTTTTGCTTCCTATCCCTGCACCCCTATGCTCTGTGGGTCTAGAGGTCTTAGTTCCAAAGAGAAGAATGCTCTCACCTGGAGACACAACACTGACTGCACTGAACTGAAAGCTAAGAATACCATCTGGCCACTCTGGGCTGCTCATGCCTCTGGATCAACAAGTAAAGAAGGGAGTTACTGTACTGGCTGGTGCGTTTGATTCTGATTACCAAGGGAAAACTAGATTGATATTACATAATGGAGGTAAAGAAGAGTATGTCTGGAATACAGCAGATGCCTTAGGGCATCTCTTAGTACTACCATGCCCTGTGATTAAAGTAAATGGAAAACTACAGCAATATAATTCCAACATGACTAATAATGACCCAGATCCTTCAGGAATAAAGATCCGGCTCACCTCACCAGGCAGACAACCATGACCAGTTGCAGAAATGAGTACTGTTAATGTTATGAGGGTTTCTTGTTTTATTGTGTGTACGTATGTATGTATAAATATATGTGTGTGTGTACATACATGGCACAAGTATTTTTTCTTCTGTCCCTTATCCCATTACTTATAAAATATAAAATGTAAATGGGGCTAGTGGGTTTTCGGTTGTACACGTTAGTAGTACGACTTTGTAACTGTCTTTATTTAGAGATTATGTATGGTTTAAGATGTGTACATGTGCCAAGTTAACAAGGGGTGTACTGTGATGGTTAATGTTGTGTGTCAACTTGGCTAGGCTGTGATTCTCAGTGGTCTGGCAGACCCTGGACTGACTGCCCTCCCATAATGTAATATAATGTAATAATTTCCATGATGAGATCTTGTATAATGTAATCAATTTATTGATGAGATCTGCTATTAACAGTCAATAATTTGAAGGGAGAGTTTCCTTGGGGGGTATGGCCTACCTCCAGTATATAAATGGATGTTCCAGCAAGGCTCACTCTTGCTCTGGATCCTGCATCCAACTCATCTGACCTCAGGTTCTTGATACAAGAGCCAGCTGCCTGCCACATGACCTGCAGATTTTGGGATTCGCCAGCTCCCACAGCCCTGTGAGCCAGGAAACTGCTGTCTAACCTGCTGAATTTGGGTTCCTCAGTCCCTGAAACCACGTGAGTCTGGAGAAGCCTTCAGCCTTGTGCCTGATCCACAGATTTGGGACTTGCCAGGCTCCACAACTGTGTGAGCCATTTCCTTGAATTAAATCTCTCTCTATATACATACATATATACATATATACACACTTTTCGCTGGTTTTGCTCCTCTAGAGAAGCCAGGCTAAGACAGTCCCCCACTAAGTCTTGGGGTAACCCACTGCACCTCTCAGCTTCTGTTGTTTCATGTGTAAAGTAAGTGGAGTGGATGATCCTGACATTCCCTTTCAGCTGTAAGAGTCCATCAGAAGATCCTCCCAAGGATTCTTTTTGTTTTTTATTATGTACTGAACATCTACTGTATGTCAGACACCAAACTAGGCAATGGGGAGATGAAAGCAGGTAAAAAGTCATGGTCCTTGCTCTAGCAGTTCTAAATCTTGCAGGAAACAGAAGATGCTCAAATAAGGAGCTACAATTTGATCCATGTTGAAGAGAAAAGAGACCTATAGAGCAGGTGTGCAACCATGTCCACACAGGTGGGCCTGAGCGAGCGCAGCTAGAGGGTGGAAGACGGGGGAGAAGGGTATGGCAATGGGATCCCCAAATTTATCTCCCTTACTATATGTCCTCATTCTACACTCTCCCTAAAATGCCAACAACATTTATGGTTCTAACTGTACTGCCATTCGATAATTAGGAGTTTAATTTTCTCCTGTAGTTTCACACTAAGATGTATGTTTCAGAGCTATCAAAGAGGCAGTGCTGCAGAATACAGACAGGAGACAAAAGATAATATCAGAAGTCTATCGCAACTGTCCATGAATAATGAGGATTCCTGAACTAAGGAAATGATAGCAAGGAAAAGAAAGGACAAAAGACATAGAAAGGATATTGAGAAGAAGAATCAATAAAGACTTGGCAACCAATCAGATAAGGCAAGGGATGGGAGATGTGGGAGAAGTAATTTATGGGACAGGATGTGCCGTCCAACCATGGCACTATTCATCAGGCAATCATCTCATGGTCAATGAGCAAGAGATAATGAATTATGTCTACACTTAGAGTAGCTGAGAAAGGAGACTACAAATAACAACACATAAGACTAGGCAAAGAGAAAAATCAAATGCTGATATAAAAACTTCTTGGTTCTCTTGTATCAATACTAACTGAAAAACCACAAACACAATTAAGATGAAATTTAAGAAGAAACACTATCCTACCAGAACAGAATTTTATTAACCTACTTATTTTTGCTTCCTATCTCTGGAATACCCAAGTAACAAAAACAAATTAAACCAAGGAAATGTTAGTTGAAAAGCCCTCAACCTGAAGTGTCATATGATACTTAGTACTTCATAATCTCTGATAATTATCATGCCAAGGATGAGTTTACTTGGAAGAGAGCCAGAGAAGGCTAAGATTAGAAATAATGTACTACTAAAAGAAAAAAAATCATCTTTCTTATATAAAGTTTACAAAATAGTCATCATTACCATCAAGTCTGACGGTGAGATGGTTCTGCCCTTTTTGTGTCTTCTTCCATCAGTAAGGAGGATATTCTTCAATTAACTAAAGTCACTATACTGTTAAATATTAACCTGTATACTCACTTTGATCTGCACTTTGCTTCTTGGGTTGCAAGCCATATCCCATTTCTACAAGTACATGGTCTAAAGGTTTTCCTAGAAAAATCATTAAGAAAATGTATCTCCATTGAGATATTATACACAAATGATTACAGGAAAAGCATAAACAAAGAACAAATGAGTCATAATTACATGACCCAGCAATTAAAGCTGTTAATACTATTGGCATACTTCTTACCAGTTCAGTTTCTATGTATAAACTATAGTTCAATGCCCAGTTTTAGAAAACAAAGCAAATTTTCCATCATCATTTGACAGAAATTTTAATGAAAAGACTTTACTTCAAAAATCTGAATACACAAGAGCTTCAGTTATCACCTCACAGGTGTACTTGGAATGACCGCCATTTACAAGAAGAAATAAATTTAAGACACAAGACTACTTTTTTCCCAGGCCCAAAAGCATGGCTGAAGCAAGGGCCAGCACTGACATGAAATTCAAGTTTTCTGAAAAAATATCCAAAAGCTGAAGTCCTATCATCAAACATACATACTAAAGAAACAAAACAAACAGATTTAATACTTAAATTCACAACAGGATCAACTTCTTTATCCGCCAAGTCACCCCAGGCACCAGGCCTCTAAAAGCAGAGGGGTAACACCTTGGAAATGGAGAGGCACTTATAAGCAAACCGTAAGTCACTTTTCAAATGGACATGAAGCCAGAACAAAGGAAAGGAATTCCAAAATGTTTCAACTTACATAACCTAAATATGATGTAGTGGTGGCACAGTGGTTAAGAGCTAAGCTGCTAACCAAAAGGTTGGCAGTTTGAATCCACTGGCCACTCTTTGTAGACTCTATGGGGCAGTTCTACTCTGTCCTGTCGGGTTGCTATGAGTAGGAATTGACTCAATGGCAACGGGTGTTTAAGTATCAATACTAACCAAAAGCAGTTTTGTGAAGGTTGCTCAAAGACAAAGCAATGATGATAAAAAATGAACTGATAGAGAAATTCTTGAATTTCTCTCAAAAAAGGATTAGAAAACAAAAATAGATATTATAATGGCTATATCACAAAAGTTAAAAAAAAAAACAAAAAAACTCCACAAACCAACCAGTTGCCATCGAGTCAACTGAAAACTCATGGCAACCCCGTGCTGCAGAGTAGAACTGCACTCCACAGTGTTTTCAAGGCTATGACCTTTCAGAAGTAGATCAGCGGGCCTTTCTTCTGAGGCACCTCCGGGTGGATTTAAACTGCCAACCTTTAGGTTAGTAACTGAGCGCTTAACCGTTTGCACCACCCAGGAACTCCCATAATGGCTATATTAAAAGGACAATACAGTTCTCCCCGTACTGAATCTAGATCTAGTCTTTTAGCCACTCAGCTCTACGAATCTGTGCCACATCTTCGACAAACTGCCAATTGCGAGAAGGGCCAGAACCACATCTTCAATCACAACCTGAAGGACTCCAGAGAGGATCTTACTTGGCCTCACTTCATGTTTCTATTTCTTCTCTGAGGAAGAGGTAAAGAGACTAGGTAACAAATTAAGTGCTCAATTTAAAAAGAGAGACAGACTCAGCTCTTACCTGAACTTGGCAGCTTAATGTCTACGGCAAAGGCAAGCACGTCCTCTTTTAAGATGTCGACGATCTTTACAGAGCAGTACTGCTCCATTAACAGTGATCTGACAGTTTTGATACAATCATTGCTCCAGTTCCCCTCTGCTGGGATAACATTGGCCACAAAGCACTTTATGGCCTGAAAGATTGAGCACAGGTTACTGATGAAAATTATTATTTATAAAACGACTCATTCCAATTAATTCCTTGACAAATTTTGAAGACAATATATTTCATATTGAAAATTTATGAAAAATCTTCAAGTAGTAAAACTATTCAGATAAACAATTTTTCATGTAATTATTCCTCTCTCGGCACTCTATTCACAATGCTTACTTTCGAGGCTTGAAACTTCAGAAATTCATGAAAAGAATTAACTTTCCATTTTGCATCAATTCAGGCCACTTCCGAGTAACGTAATAAACACAGAAACAGTGCTTTTCTCCAGAGCAGTCTGATCAGGTGTGCCTAGAAATGTTAACAGTGTCCACCTGAGACAGCACTTAACTACATACAGCATGATCAAAATGGAGCCCAGATGGCCAATCAGTGTTCATCTACAAAGGAAAAGCTACAGCAATAGGTACTGTTAAATAATAACCATGGCAGAACAGAACAAGCAAATACTGCATCTATCAAAACATTAAAAATGCTCCTCGAGGGCACTTCTAGGAATTTAGACTTACACAAGGAGGAAACAAGTCAATGTTCTTGCTTAGCTGGTGAATTCTGTTGACTGGAATAATTTCTTCATTTCCATAATCAATATATAAGACGTGTGCCTTCTTCTGCAGCACATCAACATCTCGTATTGTTACTCTGTTCCAAGTCTAAAGTGAAAGAGAATGGTAGTCTGCTTCACAAAAGCATTTCACAATCTTAGGTTTAGAAAATCCCTCAACCAACCTACAGAACATGCAAAAAGAAAGGCTACTGTGTTGTTTTAAGGCACTCAACTAAAAGCCCAACTCAGTTTACTAAGAATCTTACTAAGAAATCCTTCATACTGTCTAATTAGGATACCTTAATATGCACAACTACTCCAAAGCTATTCTACACCAATGGATTCTATCACACACTAATGCCTCAGCTACACCAACAAACACAAGCTCTATGACTAGCAATCGTTCACAACCTGCCATTGAGGAACCTATAAACAGCGTTAGAGAGGGCTAGAGCGCTGGGGGCAGGAAGGGCGGGTAATCAAACAGCACATGGACTACCGAGGACGAGAAACAAGATCGTGACCAGTCTGGCTTTAAGCCATCTACTGAATGCATCATTAAAAGCACCAATGTTGATGAGCTAATATGACTAAATTAAAACATGTCATTAAATAATTCATTACATTATGGGTTACCTGATCAACAGTGTACTTGGCAACACAAACTTCCCCCTTAACAGGAATATAATCTTCTTCAAGTAGATTTGCATATGTTTCTTTTAAGCTTGTAGAAAGTTGGTTCATGTATTCTAAAACTTCTGAAGAATATAACTGTACATAAAAGTCACTTGGGTGTTTGAATTCAGTAACTGTGCCCTTTCAAAGATATAAAAGATGTAATAATTCACTGGGAATATAAAGCAAATGTGATTTTCTTAAAGCTTTACAACTAAGACACATAAAAAAGTGTTGCAGATACTTGGATATATATGGCAGCTACTTTATAAACTCAAGTTAAAACCAGGAAATGGGAAAATAAAAATCTATAGTTCTTTGGAATTTCTATGGAGATTAAACAAATACCTTTATTTCCATAGTTTTCCTGAGCTGTAGACTTCTCAAATCAGAAAACATTATTTTCTCAGCACAAAGGGTTATTTCTTTAGTAACTCCAAGTGGATAGTCACTCTAGTTTGAAAAAATATATACGTGAATTACTTATCAGCACATGTTTCAATGATACTGTGGCCACTATTTGCTGGAATTGAGGCCAGAATCACTTGGCTTGAGTAAGAGAGCACAGGAATAGTGAAGGCCTCCAACAGCCACTAAAATCCACTGTCTACGAACAGTGTACACAGCACAATGGTTCATCCCAACAGTCAGGCTAGGATGGTGATGCTAATGTTGAGTTTTTACAAGAAAAGGGGGTTTTGCTGTTGTTGAACATAAGCTTTATTCTCAGCAGTTATTCTGTATGCATATAGGAAGCCCACTTTGATTTCATAAAAAGCAAATGGCTGGAAGAAGCTAAGTACAGTGGAGCTTATAAAGAGAACCCGGTTGCTGTCGAGTCAATTCTGACTCCCAGCAACCCCATAAAACAGAGTAGAACTGCTCTATACAGTAGAAAAGGGGACAGTTTCTTAAATATACACTTGTTAAACTCTTTGTCAGAATGAATATTTGAGGAAGTTGGAATTTTTTTTCAGGGGTGGGGAGCAGAGGCTAGGAGCAGCTAAAGAAGGTTTACAATAATCTATAAATATGAGTTGGACAGATTATACAGTTCAACAGATGTTTTTAGATTATAAATGATTTAGCCCATATAATTATCTAATTGGAGAAGAGAACAGATATTAACAGAAAAATCTCTCCTTAGACAGATAACTAGGCCCTACTAGAATCCAACACACAGAACTAGGGAACTTGGATATGCAGGGCCTGGGAAGATGGGACTGTTTAAGTAGTCCAGATGGTTTTTACATTGCGATACAGCCACCTCAAGTACTTTTTGGAAAAAGACTGGAAATAAACAATTCTCAAAGACCCCAACAATCACTAAATACAATCACTAGGGCACACAGATTTATTCAACAAGAAACTTTTGTTTTTAAATAAACACTAGTGAATGTAGAAATTAGTCTTAAATATTTTATTTAGCTTAACTACTCTTAATTCAACAAAGAAGAGTCATTAAAAATGTATTCTAAAGATAATGAGGAAGCATACCATACCTCATTTTTCACTTCCATGTTCCTTGTTTCAAAAGGTGACTTACTATCTTCAGGTTTGTGGAAACTGAAAAAAAAAAAAAAACACCAAACAAAAAACCCTGATTATAATATTTATACTACGGAGTCAGTTACATCCAGGGACCATAAACCACAATTTTGCTAAATTCTCAATGAACAAAATTCAGAAAGAGCAAAACCACTTCCTCCAAAGAGAATCATACGTTAAAGTAAAACACTTTAATGCTGGCTACCTAATGGTAGACCCAGTGCAAAGATGTCCTTCTTCCAAAAGTCACCTAATGACAGGGAGGCAATTACTAAGTCTTAGTTTTCTGATCTGTACAATGGAGATAATCACTACGTTACCTACACAGCTTTGAAGATCAAATGAAGTTATATATGTGAAACTGCTCTATAAATTGGTAAACGCCACACCTGTGAAACTTAAAAATATTTTAAAACTACAACTCATCCACTGACTTTCTAGATGCACTCTGAGAGTCCTACCTTATTACAACTCAGGAAATCATACACGATTAAAAGTAAGGCATTCTAAAGCTCAAACCATTCAAAAAGCAAACTCACTTAAGGTTATAAATTTTAATAGGTACTATCTAGTAAAATTATATTCACAACAAATCCTAAATTTGTACAGCTGTTCACTTCAAATTTGTACACTTTATCTATGCTTCAATAAATAAATTAAAAAGTTACACTTCTACATAGTTTTAAGACCACTTAAAACAGATTTGATCCTTAATCTATCAGAAAAACATTTTTTTAATATTCTCTAATGATTTAAAAAAAAAACACTATTTTTTTTTTTAATGAACACTTACTTTTGCTGCACAGGTTTGCACACGATGCTGTGTGCAGACCAGTCTCTCTTCTGACATGTTATGGAGCAATAGTATGTCTGCTTGCACTGTGAGCACCTCAGTGATCCTACAGAACACAACTCATAACATCATCAACGTATTATTCCAAATATTTATTCTCAAGCGCAAAACGTTTTCAACGACCAGCTATATCAAACACCATTCTATTAATGACATCCAAAAAGACTATGTGACGAGAACTGTGCTATTTATAATTAGGTGCTTTCATAAGACCATGGAAGAGAACAGAAATCAGTATTAAAATAAAACTTTTAAAGCGCTCTCAAAATGCAAGTAAAAAGGAAAGTAAAGATGAAAATGAGGGGAGAATGGACAGGGAGGACAGACCAGAGGTAATATAACTGACTTTCATAAAGTACAGCCCGAAACACGTTACAAAGAGAACAATCCCTGGACCCCTATACCTCACACCATGTACAAAAATCAACTCGAAACAGATCAGTGACCTAAATATAAGAGTTAAGCCATAAAAGTCTTAGAAGAAAATGGAGGGGTACAACTTTATGACCTTGGATTTGGCAATGGACTCTTAGATATGACACCAAAAACACAAGCAACAAAAGAGAAAATAAATAAATTGGATTTCATCCAAATTAAAAACTTTCGTGCATCAAAGAACATTCCCAAGAAAGTGAAAAGATAGCCTATAGAACAGGAGAAAATATTTGAAAATCATGTATTTAATAAGGATTTATACTCAGAATATATAAAGCATTCCTACAACTCAACAACAAAAAACCAACAACCTAATTAAAAAACGGACAAAGGACTTAAACAGACAATTCTCTAAAGAAGACATACAAATAGCCAATAAGCACGTGAAAAGATGCTCGACATCATTAGTTATTAGAGAAATGCAAATCAAAACCACAATAAGATACCACTTCACACCCACTAGGATGGAGTATCAAAAAAAGGGAAAATAGCAAGTGTTGGTGAAGATGTGGAGAAACTCGAACACTCACACATTCCTGGTGAGAATGTAAAATGGTGCAGCTGTAGAGAACAGTTTGGTAGTTCCTCAAAAAGTTAAACACAGAATTACCTTAGGACCCAGCAATTCCACTTCTAGGTACATATCCAAAAGAACTGAAAGCAGGGACTCAACAGATACTTGTACACCAATGTTCACTGGAGCACTGTTCACTATAGCCAAAAGATTAAAACTACCCAAACGTTTATCAACAGACGAAGGGATAAACAAAATGTGCTATGTATACCAAACCAAGCCCACTGTCATCAAGTGGATTCTGGCTCACAGTAGTCGTACAGGACAGAGTAAAACTGTCCCATATGTTTCCAAGGCTGTAATCTCTTCTTCTTTTTTTTTTAATTGTGCTTTAAGTCAAAGTTTACAATTCAAGTTAGGTTCTCGTACAAAACTTTATACATACACTGTTATGTGACCCCAGTTGCTCTCCCTACAGTGTAACAGCACGCTCCTCCTTTCCACCCTGGATTTCCCGTGTCCATTCAACCAGCTCCTGTCCTTCTCTGTCTTCTCATCTCGCCTCCAGACAGGAGCTGCCCATTAGTCTCACACACCTACTTGAGCAAAGAGGCAAACTCTTACAAGAATCATTTTATATCCCATAGTCCAGTCTAATCTTTGTCTGAAGATTGGCTTCGGGAATGGTTTTAGTTTTGGGCTAACAGAGAGTCTGGGGGCCATGTCTTCTGGGGTCCCTCCAGTCTCAGTCAGACCATTAAGTCTGGTCTTTTTACTAGATTTTGAGTTCTGCACCCCACTTTTCTCCTGCTCCAACACGGACTGTCTTGTGTTCCCGGTCAGGGCGGTCACTGGTGTAGCCAGGCACCATCTAGTTCTTCTGGTTTCAGGCTAATGGTGTGTCTCTGGTTTATGTGGCCCTTTCTGTCTCTTGGGCTAATATTTTCCTTGTGTCTTTGGTGTTCTTCATTCTCCTTCACTCCAGGTGGGTTGGGACCAATTGATGCATCTCAGATGGCTGCTCGCTAGCTTTTAAGACCACAGATGCCACTCACCAAACTTGGATGCAGAACATTTTCTTAATAAACTTTGTTATGCCAACTGACCTAGATGTCCCCTGAAACCATGCCCCCGGATCCCCACCCCTGCTACTCTGTCCCTCAAAGTGTTTGGTTGTATTCAGGAAACTTCTTAGCTTTTGGTTTAGTCCAGTTGTGCTGACTTCCCCTGTAGTATGTGTTGTCCTTCCCTTCACCTAAGATAATTCTTGTCTACTATCTAGTTAGTGACTACCCCCTCCCTCCCTCCCTATCCTTGTAACCATCAAAGAATGTTTTCTTCTGTGTTTAAATCTTTTCTTGAGTTCTTATAATAGTGGTCTTATATTTGTCCTTTTGGGACTGACTAAATCACTCAGCACAGTGCCTTCCAGATTCCTCCGTGTTATGTTTCACAAATTCATCATTGTGTGAATGCACCATAATTTGTTTACCCATTCATCCGCTGATGGGCACCTAGGTTGTTTCCATCTTTTTGCTATGGTGAACGGTGCTGTAATGAACATGGGTGTGCATATACCTACTCGTGACAGCTCTTATTTCTCTAGGATATATTCCAAGGAGTAGGACTGCTGGATCGTATGGTACTTCTATTTCCAGCTTTTTAAGGAAGTGCCAAATTAATTTTCAAAGTGGTTGTACCATTTTACATTCCCACCAGCAGTGTATAAGCGTTCGTCTCTCCATGACCACTTCAACACTTATTGTGTTTTTTGGTTTAATGCTAGCCTTGTTGGGGTTAGATGGTATCTCACTGTAGTTTTCATTTGCATTTCTCTAATGGCTAATGATCGTGAGCATTTCCTCACATGTCTGTTAGCTGTAATCTCTAAGGAAGCAGACTGATGGTATCTTTTTCCCGCAGAGCACCTGGTGGGTTCGAACCACTGACCTTTTGGTTAGCAGCCGAGTGCTTCAACCACTGGGCCACCAGGGCTCCTGGTATAAATAGAATGGCGTATTATTCAGTCATAAAGAGAAATGAAGTCCTGATACATGGTATAACATGGATGAACCTTGAGTGAAATAAGCCAGACACAAAGGACAAGTATTGTATGATTTACTCATATGAAATATCTAGAATAGGCAAATGCACAGAGACAAAAAGTAGATCAGAAGTTACAGGGGGCTGGAGGGAAGAGGTAATGAAAAGTTATTTCTTTATGGGTATGATGTTTGTGGTGATAAAAAAGTTCTGGAAATAGATAGTGGGACAGTTGCATAACATTGTGAATGTAATTCATGTCGTTGAATTGTGTACTTCAAAAATGGTTAAAACACACATTTTATGTTATACATATTTTACTGTCATGAAAATTTTTTTCTTTTTTCTTTTTTGTTTATTGTGCTTTAAGTGAAAGTTTACAGTTCAAGTCAGTTTCTCATACAAAAATTTATACACACACTGTAATGTGACCCTAGTTGCTCTCCCTACAATGTGATAAGCACACTCCTCCTTTCCACCCAGGATTTCCCGTGTTCATTCAACCACTCCTGTCCCTTTCTGCCTTCTCATTTCGCCTCTGGACAGGAGCTGTCCATTTAGTCTCACGTATCTACTTCAGCTAAGAAGCAGACTCTTTACGAGTATCATTTTATGTCTTATAGTCCACTCTAATCTTAACAGTTAGCTTCAGGAATGGTTTTAGTTTTGGGCTAACAGAAAGTCCAGGGGCCATGTCTTCCAGGGTCCCTCTGGTCTCCGTCAGACCATTAAGCCTGGTCTTTTTCCTAGAATTTGAGTTTTGCACCCTACTTTTCTCCTGCTCTGTCCACCATGAAATTTTTTTTAAAGCGGAACAATCAAAGGAAACAGAGAACAAAACTTTGTTATAGTGAAACAGATTTGTACATGCAGACTAAAATGGCTTACTGTGTGCCAATAAAAAAAACAAAACAATAAAACCACACCTAGAAAAACCCAGGAAGTTTTCTGAAATACAAATACTGAAAAAAAAAATTTCTATCAGTATCCAGACAGAAAAAATAAGCTATCTAGTAAGTAACAAACAGCAATAAAATCAGGCTAGCCTCAAATGCTTCCACTTTAACAAACAAAGGAGCTAAATATTCAAATGGCCCGTAGGCACATTAAAAATTACTTGAGATCATTGATCATCAGGGAATGCCAATTAGAACCACAATCAGATACTACTACAGACCCACGAGAAGGGCTAAAATTAAAAAGACTGACAACATCAAATGTAGGCAATATGGAGCAACCAGATATGGAGCAACCAGAACTCTCATAAACTGCCAATGAGAATACAAAATGGGACAATCACTTTGGAAAGTGGTTTGGCAGTTTCTCATAAAGTTTTTTGACTGAGCAATTTTCTGCTCAAGAGAAATGAAAACGTATGTCTACAAAATGACTTGTACAAACATGTTTAGCAAGCTCTATTTATGACAGCCAAAAGCTGGACACAACCCAAATGTTCATGAACAAGAGAACAGATAAACTGTGGTATAATGATACAATGTAACAGTATTCATGCAACATACAACTGATACATGCAACATGCAAAATGATACATGAAACAACATGGATTAATCTTTAAAATATCTTAAATGAAGAAAACTTTACAGAAAAGTGTCCATGCTGTGTGACTCCATTTTTATGAAATTCTATGACAGGCAAAATTAATTTAAGGTGAAACAATGAGAACAATGGTTGCCTTGGCAGCGGGGGAGTGTAGTGACTGGGAAGCGGCATGAGGGAACTTTCTGAGAAGATGGAAATGTTCTTTATCTTGGTAGGAGTGTGAGTTTGTGCATTTCGATGTGTGTTTTACCTCAAAAAAAGGTCCTATAAAAATAACAATCAACTAGGGAAGTGGGGAGAGTGGGAAGGTGTGGATCCACAAGAACGGCAGGATGTTGACAGCTGCTGAAGCTGGGATATGGGAGTATAGTGTACATACGCTATCCTGTTTAAACTTTATAAGTTTAGAATTTTCCATAATAAAAAGATTTTTAAATTGTGTAGAGAAACCATCCAACAGACTTCTGAACGCAATATGCTTACCAAACAGGCCACAGCGATGGCAGGTTGTGGACCGAAGAGGAGTTCCTAAGGAGTTGAAGAGCGCCGGATTGCTTATGGACAAGGAATTCTCAACCAACTTGTGTACTTTTTTTGACTTTGTAGGAGGCACATTATTGCTAGGCTTCTATTAAGAAAAAAGAAGAATAGTATTAACACTTAGTCATAACTTCTAAAAAAAAAATGACTAGATTTGGAACTTCTGCTTCTGGGAAGATAAAACATACATATCCCTATTCTTCCCATTAAGTACAATGAAAAACCCTGGACTTATATATAAAACAAACATGAGGGCAGAAAGAAGGCAGACTTACTAGGGACATCTTGGGACCCAAAAAACAACATGGCAGTGAGTTCCCTGCATTTTCTTTTTGTCCCAGACTGGGTGCTGGGGAAGCAGGCAACCTGGAAATGTCAGAAGGTGCACACAATAAAATCCTCAACAAAAAGCCTGGTCTCTTTAGCCAAAGGACCAGGAAAGGGGAGGCCTAGCAAGACAGAAAACTCGCAGATAAGAACTGCCATATTCCAGCCAAATGCTGCAGGAAAAAACCACAGCCCCACCCCCACTAGCAAAGACAGAGTGGTGAGCCTAGACTTGCACTCCCACCAGGCTACAAGGTACTCAACTCTGCCACTGATATGGTGTCAGAGAAGTTGGACTGAGTAGGGAGCCAGGGCCCCGTCCTTAGGGTAATTAAGCCTCCCCTCCTCCAGGAAAGATCTTGTTAAGAGCATGAAAAGACAAGCCACAAAGAGAAAAAATATTTGCAAACCACATATTTGACAAAGGACTAGTATCTAGAACCGATAAAGAATCTTCAAAACTCAACAATTAAAAAAAATTAGAAAATGGGCAAAAGACATAAAGAAATATTTCAAAAAAGAGAATACACAGATGGTAAATGAACACATGAAAGATGTTTAACATCATTAGCCATTACAGAAATGCAAATTAAAACCACAATGAAATATCACTACACACATATGAGAATTGGGTAAAATACCAAACACCACCAAATGCTGGCTAGGATGCAAAGAAATTGGATCACTCATAATTAATGATGGGAATGCAAAACAGTACAGCCACCTTGGCAGTTTCTTAAAAAAAATCTAAACATGAACTGTAATGGGGCTCAGTAATTGCATCCCTGGACATTTATCCTACAGCAATAAAAACTTTGTTGTTGTTGTTAGGTGCCATCGAGTCAGTTTCAACTCGTAACAACCATATGTACCACAGAACGAAACAGTGCCTGGTCCTGCGCCATCCTCGAGACCGTTGCAGTGCTGGAGTCCACTGCTGCAGCCACTGTGTCAATCCATCTTGTTGAAGGTCTTCCTCTTTTTCACTGATCCTCTACCAAGCACGATGTCCTTCTCTAGGGACTGGTCCCTTCTGATAACATGTCCGAAGTACGTAAGACAAAGTCTCGTGTATCATCGCTTCTAAAGAGCATCCTGGCTGTACTTCTTCCAAGACAGACTTGTCTGTTCTTTTGGCAGTCCACGGTATATTCAATATTCTTCACCAACATCATAATTCAAAGGCATTAATCCTTCTTCAGTCTTCCTTATTCATTGTCCAACTTTCACAGGCATAAGAGGCGACTGAAAACACAATGACCCAAGCCAATCACCAGTAACTATCAATGCATCTTGATTGCATGTTGGATCAATTTCAGACTGCAGAAGGTGGTAAAAATCTTCAATTTCTTCATCTTTGGCCTTAGTGGTTGGTATGTACAACTAAATGATAGTTGTATTAACTGGTCTTCCTTGTTGTTGTTGCTGTGTGCCGTCCAGTCGATTCCGACTCACAGTGACCCTACAGGACAGAGCAGAACTTCCCCACAGGGTTTCCAAGGAGCAGCTGGTGGATTCGAACTGCCAACCTTTGGTTAGCAGCCTGAGCTCTTAACCACTTTGCCACCAGGGCTCCAGTCTTCTTTGCAGGCGTATGGATATTATCCTATCACTGACAGCGCTGTACTTCAGGCTAGATCTTAAAATGTTCTTTTTAACGATGAATGCAACGCCACTGCTCTTCAATTTGTCATTCCTGGCACAGTAGGCCATATGACTGTCCAATTCAAAATGGCCAATACCAGTCCATTTCAGCTCTCTAATGCCTAGGATATCAATGTTTATGCATTCCATTTTGTTTTTGATGATTTCCAATTTTTCTAGACTCATACTTCATACATTCCATATTCCAATTATTAATGGATGTTTGTAGTTGTTTCATTTTTAGTCATGCCATATCAGCAAACGAAGGCCCCAAAAGCTTGACTCCATCCACATTATTAAGGTCAACTCTACTTTGAAGAAGCAGCTCTTCCCCAGTCGTATTCTGAGTGCCTTCCCACCTAAGGGACTCATCTTCCGGCACTACATCAGACAATGTTCTATTGCTATTCATAAGGTTTTCACTGGCTAATTTTTTTCAGAAATAGACCACTACGTCCTTCCCAGTCCATCTTAGTCTGGAAGCTCAGCTGAAACCTGTCCACCATGGGTGACTCTGCTGGTATTTGAATACCGGTGGCATAGCTTCCAGCATCAAAGCAACACTCAAGCCGCCACAGTACGACAAGCTGACAAACATGTAGGGAATAAAAACTTATGTTCTCACATGAATATAACAGTTTTATTCGTAAGAGTCAAAAACTGGAAACAACCCAGATGTATTTCAATGGGTGAATGGTTAAACAAACTGTGGTACGTCCATACCACGGAATACTACTCAACCATAAAAAGGATTGAAGCACAGATACCTGCAACAAACAAGGTGAATCTCTAGAGATTATACTGAGTGAAAAAAGCCTATAATCAAGAGGCAACTTTCTTGAAATGATAAAACTGACTAGCGGTTACCAGGGGTTAAGGAGGAAGTAATGGCAGAAGGCAAGTGGATGTGGCCATAAAAAGGCAACGTAAGGGATCCTGGTAGGGATAGAAATGTTCTCTATCTTCATTCTCTCCATACCCTTGCTTACCAAACTATTGTTCTTCAGGATGTTACCATTAGAGGAAAATAGGTAAAAGGTACAAGGGATCTCTCTGTATTATTTCCTATAATTGCATGTCAATCTACAAAAAGAGAAAGTGTAATTTAAAAAAAAAAAGGTACTAGATCAAGAATGAGGAAATTTAATCTTGACTGATATTAGCAAAGTGAATAATTCTTTATTAAAGCAATACAAAAATATGTTTGAAACAGTGGCATCACTAGGGTTGGTATCACCCAGTACAGTAACTCATGGTTGTCACCCACCCCCACAGACCTCCTCCCGTACTGACCATACAGACTCCTTAGTAATGTTTTTTGTACTACTGTTACTTGTAAATCATAATTCCTGTATATCATTCCTTCTTTTCCTTTAATTACTAATTCATTCTCAAAAAAGTTATCGATATAGGTTACAAATACTAATTACCACAACAGTGTAGCTAAAACACCAGAAAACTTGACAAAATCAGCAAGGAAAACAACAGTGTGCGCTTGTAGCCTATGCAGATGAAACCACATGATTCAAAGTGCCACTGTAACTGGGTTATAATGACAGCTCTGACTGGAGTGCATCAGAAGGTTCAAAGAGTAATGGCATAGAGTTTTAGCCTTGTAGGTATATTGACACATGTAAGCTGGGCTTGCGAAAAATGTATCTGTTGATATACTACCAAAAAAAGCCCAGATGCCCGTTACTGTCCAATCGACTCCAACTTAGAGCAACTCTATAGGACAGAGTACAACTACCCATACAGTTTCCAACGAACAGCTGGTGTATTCGAACTGCTGACCTTTTGGTTAGCAGCTATAGCTCTTAACCACTATGCCACCAGGGTTTCCATAATTAACTACAGGAATATTTTTATAGACCAGTCATTTTGGTATCACCCCCTCTTACAGTGTCAGCTGGTACAGTCCACACCCCCACATACCCCTAGTGACACACACACACAGTTTTAAAAAAAACAGATAACTTACAGAGTTTACGTCTTTGGGTGGTGAATTATTTCCAACAGTTAATGGTGATACTGAATTTCCTGGAGAAGAAAAACATTATTTTTAATAAAAGTCAAATATTTCTTGTATTCCTAAAAATGCAAAGTACCATAATTCATATTCAAATAATAGGGTTATACCATAATAGCCCTATATCTATGCCACTAATAAGCAGTGTTTTATTTTTCCCATATGGAAAATACACGCTTGTGCTAAAATTTCAGCCTTGACTGCTGCTCCTCGCATTATGAACTCTTCTCCATTCACTAAGGCAACAATTATTCAATTTCTTATTTGGACTCAGGACCTCCTGACACTTAAAATTATTGAGGACCCCCAAGAACTTTTGCTTATATGGCTTAAATCTATCAATATTTACCATATTAGAAATTAAAATGAAGAATTAAAAAATATTTACTCATTTAAAGAAGACCTGGTGGCGCAGTGGTTAAGCATTCAGCTGCTAACCAAAAGGCTGGCAGTTTGAATCCACCAGCCACTCCTTGGAAACCCTACGGGGCAGCTCTAGTCTGTCTTACAGGTTTCTATGAATCGGAATCGACTTGATGGCAATGGGTTTGGTTTTGGGTTTATTCATTTAAAAATAATAATAAAAACATTACATGTTCATATAACTTTTTTTTAATGAAAAACTTAACTATATTTTCTAGAACAAAAAAAATAGCAAGAAGAGTGGCACTGTTTTGCATTTCTGCTATCTCTTTTCACAGTTTGGCTAAACAGAAGACAGCTGGATTCATATATCTGCTTTTGCAGTCAATCTGCTGTGGTAAGTTGTTTTGGTAGAAGCACCTAAAGACAATCAGGCCGCACACAAATATGTAGTTGCAAAAAGGAAAAGGATTTAATGGCCTCAGATACTTGTGGATATTCTCTTTTGATATCACGCTGAAAATCCAAGTGGTAATTTCTTAAGGGTTAGCTGCAATGTGGAACCTAAAGCCTAATCAATGAACTTTTCACACTGTTACATTAAATCCATTGGTTTCTCTTGCCCTCTGAATGGATTTTTACCCATGTATGATTGTGCAACATCATGCACTGGTTACTTGGAAAACATGGTTCACTGAGTTGTCCAAAGCTTCCAAATGTCAACACATTTCATTACACAATATTGAAAAAGCCTATTTGTTAGTTATCACCACCCACCTTATCAGAAAAACCTAAGTATTAGGAAGCTAAGCTGTCCAGCTCAGAGTGCGGATACAAGTTTTCTGAAAATCTAATTTTTGTTTGAAAGCTTGAATTTTACACTGTTGGCTGCTTTCCTTCAAGTGACAGGCTTACTTTCTTCATCTCCAAGAAAATGCCTGCCAGACAGCCAAGACTGAATAACCATAACTTTTATCATTCTTTTCAAGTAGAAATGATGTTCCAAGAAGAGCCTTTCTGTTCGGCTCACAACTCAAACCCATGTTCTTCCTCAAGATAACAGTTATGCTTCCATACGCAGCAGAAATATTCCCATTTTATACACAACATTAAACATATATGTATATAAGAGTTGACATTTAATAAAATTAGTAATTTTTACTGCTTGATAAAGAGCATTCTTAAGTAAAACTGGCATTTTGGCTTCTGTTTTGTTTTCACTGCAAGTGTGTGAAAAATTCAGCAACTGCTGGCTTAGTCTGGCATCCCTGCCTTGAGTTGAGCTAGGGCACTATCAGTTTACCCACCCTTGCTTGGGCACCACCAGTGTAAAGTCAACACAGCGAAACAGGTAAATAATGTTTTAATAGTTTACTTCAGATACACTGACAGGGGCTAAATTCTACCAGGTTCTAGGGTTCTCACAGCAGGTCTCTAGAATTAAAACTAAAGGAATTACTCAAAAAAAAAAATCAAATGAAACAGGTTAATGTCTTAGATATATCTACTATTATATGCATAAGTAGTATACCATGAATATACCATGGACTGTCAAAAGAACGAACAAATCTGTCTTGGAAGAAGTACAACCAGAATGCTCTGCAGGAGCAAGGATGGTGAGACTACGTCTTACATATTTTGGACATGTTGTCAGGAGGGATCAGCCCCCGGAGAAGGACATCACGCTTGGTAAAGGGTCAGTGAAAAAGAGGAAGACCCTCAATGAGATGGAATGACACAGTGACTGCAACAATGGGTTCAAGCATAACGACGACTGTGAGGATGGTGCAGGACCGGACAGTGTTTTGTTCTGTAGTGCACAGGGTTGCTATGAGTCGGAACTAACTTGATGGCACCTAACAACAACAACAACATATGCATAAGGAGCCCTGGTGGAGCAGTGGTTAAGAGCTTGGCTGCTAACCAAAAGGTTAGCAGTTTGAATTCACCAGCCGCTCCTTGGAAACCCTATGGGGCAGTTCAACTCTATCCTATAGGGTTGCTATGAGTTGGAATTGACTCGATGACAATTTTTTTTTTTTTGTATATGCATAAAGGAGCCCTAGTGGCACAGTGGTTAAGAGCTCGGCTGCTAACCAAAATGTCAGCAGTTGGAATCTACTAGCTGCTCCTTGGAAACCCTATGGGGCAGTTCTACTCTGTCCCATAGAGTCACTATGAGTTGGAATTGACTTGACAGCAACGGGTTTGGTTTTATATGCATAAAGGAGCCCTGGTGGTGCAGTGGTTAGGTGCTCAGCTGCTAACCCACCAGGCGCTCTGTGGGAGAAAGATGCAGCAGTCTGCTTCCTTGAAGAATACAGCCTTGGAAGCCCTATGGGACAGTTCTACTCTGTCTTGAGTCATAAAATTTGCATGGTATTTTTAAGATATGGCCAGTCTTTAGAATATCCATGAAAAGCCAGGGTTTTCCCATTTTACATTCCTAGTCTGATTATCTGATTGTGGAAAAACAGCTCATGTGAAGATAATTCTCTCCTCAGGCGTTTTCTTGAAGATGAAAAGTGAGCCTGTCACTTCAAGAAAAGCAGATATTCTCTCCCCAGGAATCCTTTCTGTGATCAATCAAGACAAAAGTAGCTACTTGATAGAAGGTTTTTCCTTTTAAGTCAATATTCAAATAACAAATACTGTTAGGTAGTCATTTAGCTGTTCAATAGCTAGTAACAACTAGCCCATTGCTGTGTACTTATATGTAAGTCTGATAAGTCACCAAAACCATCAGAACCAAGAAGTAGAAAGGCCTGCAGTTTTCACTCACCTGTTGGCAATGTCTTCCTGTCTCCTTTGGATCCAGTCACTTCTCCATTGATGCCATTAGGGTTTGAAGATACAGAATTATCTTCCTGACTAGCCAAGTACTGTTTGGTTTGCTCACAAAGCAAAAAATTGTTCTTTCTATTTCCATTCTCTGGGCTTTTCAACCTGAAATTAGGATGATTAGGATGTCCTCCAGGACTTCTTAAAGAATCACGTAGTGGAAGCTTGTTTTCTTTTTTCTCAAAATTAAATGGCTCTGTCATTTTACAAGTAGATGCTTCTGGATTATTTCTTGACATCACATTAACTGGTAATTTAACACTTATGGAAGTCTAAGGAAAGAAATGTATTTAAAAGACAACTTTTAATTACAAAAATAGAAGAACAGCAGGCCCAGGTGATTTCTTTCAAATATTTGTGTAACAGATAATTCCTATGAACTATTCCAAAGCAGACATTCCATGATATCAAAACCTGGCCTGCATGGCACAAGAAATGGTAAAAAGAAAATTTTTTGATCAATAAGCACAAAGTCCAAGTTCAACAGAATTTAACAGACCAACTCAACAGACATTGAAAGAGTAATCTCAGAGTTCAACACCATTCCTTCCTTTGAAAAACTTTTGAAACAATAATAATACTTTCATGTTTTTAAGGACTTATTTCCAACTGAAAGCCTACAACTTGGTGGTGAAATGCTTTAGAGGTTATTATTTAAAACAGGCCATCACCTACCTCTCTCCTCCCACTGCAGAACCCCTCTACCCTCTTCGAGTGTATGCTACTGTCCTTGAATATGAACTCAGTACCCAGGATGCATGCCCTCCCCTCCTCTGCCAGTAAATGCTCTCCTTCCTGGTCATCCTTCACCATTCTTCCCAGCTGAGGCATATTCTGTCTGGTTTCCCCAAGTCCTCTGCTTTGATAGTCTCCAGCTGAACTTCCATAAATTATTACTTGTACCTACTATTGCTTTTAAGGTAAGCAGTACCTATCTGTGTGTACATTTCTCTGAAAATTTAAGTTAGACATTCTGTAAACTTTCCTTGTTCAATTTGTCGCACAGTGCCTCTGGCAAACTTCTATTCAGAAGTTATGCTGGCTTCTTGTTTTCCTCTTACTCTCTTAGTGTCTTGCCCAGGGGAAGTAATAAAAGTGGACAAGCAATTCTTTTTGTAGTGACTGCTTGTCTGTGGACTGCAGGAAAAACTTCTGCTATCCCCAAAAGAAGACCCCAAAACTGCCCAGAGGAAAAAGAGGTCACAGAGAGCTGAGACTAGCATGAGTAATATCTAAATGTTGTTTAACACTGTTTTTAACAGAAAATAAAGAATTAGCAAAGTCCTGCCTCTTGGTGTCCTAAAACTACCATTTCATTGCTTGTTTCACATTAGGCCTAGCAGGATCCAATGACATTACAGAAAAGATAACGAAATGAAAGGAATACACAGGCTTACCCAAAGGAGGGGAACCCTCAGTGGGCCCGATCCCGGGAGGATCCCTAATAGAAGGGCCACAGATGGGAAGCTATGGTGGGAGACCCTCGGCTGCTGGAGAAAATACACTTGCACCGGTAAGCAAGCCAAAGTTTGAGGATCAGACTGACAGCTACAATACTGGATGCACTAAGAAAAAAGCAATATTGTCAAATTACAAAAGGAAAAGAATTGAACCTCCTGGATGGGGATATAAGTGCTAAGTAACTCTAGACTCTGTGCAAGAAATATAAAGAATGTACATTAACATAAGAGGGTAACAACCAGAAGAACAGAAATAAATTGCATAACTTTAAAATTACAGAAAACAAAAACCTTAAGCAATCCAACAGGAAAGAAAAAATATTCAAGCATGGCAAAAGAACACATCAAATAAAATGATGTAACTGAGCCCAAGTAATCTGAGTATGGATGAGACAGTCTATTAAAAGAGAAAGACAGACTTGGACTAGAGAAAAACACCCAGCTAGATGGAATAAACAAAAGCCAAACATAAAATGATATGTTAAGGCTGAAAATAAAAGAACTAAAACAGGTGCTATGCAAACAACCAAAATAAAGGTGAAATGTTAGTATCACTAGCAGCCAAAATAGAGCTCTAGCTAGAAAATATTGAAGACCAGGAAAGACATTTTAACTGATACAACAAACATCCCAAGGAGGCAGAGCAATCAGCAATCTGAGTCATAATAATGTAGATTTGAAATGGGTAAAGCAAAAACGGTTGAATAAGAAGAAATTAAATCCACAATGATAAGGACACACCTGCCCTGGATGCCTATCAGTCAAACAGACAGAAAACAAGCAGTGATAAGGGGTATTTTAGTAACACAATGAACTCGATCTTACAGTGACCGATGCAACCAATAATACTCATTTTTCCAACACTGAGCATATACTGGACCACAAAGACTACCTCAACTAACTCCAAACCACACGAAAACTCTAGTATCATACAGGTTGCGTTCGCTCAACACACTATACACAAATTCTCCGTCTCAGATTTTATTTCCCAGAAAATCAGCCTACAGCAACCCCATGAGGGTGAAGGTTTGTTTTTTTCTTTTTTTAAAAGAATTCAAACTGGTAAAATATTACAAAGGAAATGGTAGTAAACATGAACAATTGGAAACTTACAAAAAACAGCAAATAAGACAGGAAATAAGTGTTGCCACAAAGATGACAAATTTGGTATCTTTTAAGGGGGTGGGATAAATAACAAACATTGAGATACTGTAGCAGGCATTACGGTGGACTGACCCGAACACCATCTTCAACCTCTGATCTGCCACCTGGCATTACTGACATAAGCAGGGTTCTCCCAAGGGGGGGCTCTGAGAAAGCCTTGGCTGGCAGGGCCCTTCACCTCTCTCTTCCTACAAGGTGAACCTGAAACCTGAAGGTAGATCACCCATCCTGCAACTAGGAAGCGTAAGTATCAGGAAGAAAGCATTTTTATTAAGGATGGTGGAGCAGAAAATGCAAAGAGCCTGGTGTCCTGGCAGTATCCTTGAGTTGCCACACAGTAAAATAAAAGAACTAGAGGCATGAACAGAATTCAGAAAAGAGTGAAGGTTAGTTGATAAACACAGGCAGAAAACATTCAACCTCACTTGGAATAAAAAAAAAATTAAATATATATAACTATGTGTTATATTATGCCTGGAGCCCTGGTGGCACAGTGGTTAAGAGGTTGGCTGCTAACCAAAAGGTAAGCAGTCTGAATCCACCAGCTGCTCCTTGGAAACTCTACAGGGCAGTTCTACTCTGTCCTGTAGGGTTGCTGTCTTAGTCATCTAGTGCTGCTACAACAGAAATACCACAAGCGGATGGCTTTAACAAAGAGAAATTTATTTCCTCACAGTTAAAGTAGGCTAAAAGTCCAAATTCAGGGCATCAGCTCCAGGGGAAGGCTTTTTCTCTCTGTCGGCCTTCTTCTCTTCGGTGTTCCCCCGGAA